GGTGTTTAAGAGATGATGTATAAATCCATATCACTTATAGAGGGTTGCCCAGTGTCAGTTGGGCCAAAGGCGGGGTACGCCCTGAGCATGTCACCAGCTGGTCAGAATATATAAACACTCCTTTAAAGAAATGTGCTGCTAGTTTGCATACAGGCTGTGTGCACCAAGGAGAAATCTTTGAAATGGGACAGACCTTGCCAAACTGTCATGAAATTCAGATTTTGAAGGATCCAGCCCCTTAAATGGCACACCGCTTATTTCTAGTAATAATCCTAAGCTTGCTCTTACTGTAATGAGAAGAAAGTACTTTATTGACTTTGAGTATTACATAAACTGTAGAAGATGCTTTGCTGTCACAGTCACTTGACAGGAAGTATCACCAGACTGTAGTTAACTGGAACCTCTAACATCTGGCATGCTGTGTACATTTTTTAGCATATATTTGCTGCACAGTCACTCAGAAGTCTTGCATTCCTGACACTGTGATTACCCTTTAATTTAATAGCCTCACTAGACACACTTTCCCATTGAACTGAAAAGGGAAAGTGTGTCCAACATTTGACCGGAGGTGTACTTTTACATCAACCTCCATGAAATAGTGTGAAATCAACATTTCACGAATGACTCGCTGCTGAGTTTCAGAAAAGTTCCAACTGTGCCAAGCTTTCCAATTTTCACTCATAACTTTCTTACACAATTGCGCTTGCTCTTTTGTCATTATTGTTGTTTCCAAGTGATATCTAGTTGCATTACTTGCATGGAGGTTCATTTTATGTAGCTCACAAAACTGCAGTTAGTGAGGTCATTAAATATTTTCCGTCCAAAGTCACAAGTCACTTTATGAGATATAATGTATCCTCATTACAGTCAGTAATAAATCATCTTCAGTCTTTGTGTTTCTGCTCTGAAATTCCAGTGGATCTTCTATTTTCCAAACCCAAAGCCACAGAAACAGGAGTCACTCTGGCATAGACAGGACCAGAGGCTTATTCCCACAGGGTTTGCTAATGGAAATTTAAAGAGAGGCACAGAAGCAGGTAAATCCTAGTTTTCAGTTTGTGCTTAATAATGATCTTCATCTACACAGTGTTCAGTTTCTCCTGTTTGTGCCCTCGGACACAAATAGAATTTAACCTGCAGAAATAACAGCTGTTGTTTAACATGGAAGTTAATACAAATTCTCTGTAATCTATCTTCTACCTGTATTTACTTGTATGAGCCACTTTCATTCATTCACTAAGGAATTTCTGAATCACGCTTTCTGCACCCATGTACAGTGGTTTTCATGTTAATAAAACACTTAAAATATGTTACACCATTACCCTCATCAGGTAAGTAATAATAATCACCATTGCCATCTTACCCCCTAAATCCTAGTGCAGCATTGTGCTTGGCAACCTACAGTAAATGTGAAGAAGGGGAATGTGTGTTCACAGAAATCACTGGAATGTAGCACATGGACATTAACATGGGCATCACACACCAGTGCCTATAAAACCTTACATTTCTCTGTTTTGTCCCATGTGTAAGAGGGCTAAAGGAGAGTCTTGGCACTGATGATTATTAGTACAATATAATATATAAACAGAATAATAATAAAAATAAACTAGACAAAGGCATTTCCTGAAAAAAATGTGTGTGGATGGTGATTGCTGAAGAATTACCCTAGAAATGGCTGAAGGCTGAGATGCTCACACTACAGCTTTATGTGATTATAAAATATAATCCTGGTCTTGTATTTTGAAGCTTGTGCATGTTATGGTGCCTTAATGTGAGCTTAAGTAACAATCTGGAAATTTTGAAAAAGTTGGCATGTTACCTAGCACTCATGTCACACCTAGTTATAAATCTGGGGCTCTTATATTCAATATGCAGTATCCCTCAGAGTGACATTGGAACATCCTGACACCAACTTTCCAGCCTGTGTTGGTCTGATTGACGGTGCTGTATGATGTGTCCTGCTAGGACAGGACAGACTAGCTGACAGTGACAAGGAGCAAAGCTCTGAGCTTTGACAGGAACTGGACATTCAGTTGTTAAAGTGATTATATTGAAATTGTTTCTGCATATATCAGGGCTCTTATTTTGAAAGCAGACCAACTCTGTGTGTGTGTGTGTGTGTTACTGTGTCTCTGTGTGTGTTATTGTGTGACTGTTTGTGTGGTAGTGTCAGGGACCAAACAGCAAGGCAAAACACACATAGCTATTAAACCAATGGTCTTTTTATTAAGCCAAAAGTAAAGAAAAATACAAACATCAATATCAACTAGACTGGGCCCTAAAGGAGGTCAACAGAAGATAAGGAAACTCAAAATATTGCAAACTGAACTGTCCAATACCACAACAAAAAACAACTGACCTAACAAGCACACAGGGGAACACACTGGCTGGCCAAACCAATAACACACACAAGTATAAGCAAATTGATATTGGATTATGTGTAAAATTATGTGTGTTGTCATATCAACTGTTTTTACATGCTTGAAAGAATAAATCAAATCAAATCAAGGGATAGACCAAAGACACTATCAAAGTAATCAACTAATAAACACTGAACAGACAGTCTGCTGACAACTGTTTTTATTTAAATGGAAGAAATTAACATAACTTGACAAATAAAGTTTTAGCATAAACTACAAACAAATATATTTCTCCCAAACTCAAAATTAATCAAATGTGCATGTTCATTGATCAATTATTTATGTCCAGTCTCAAACAATACCTAACCTTTACCTGCAACTTAAAACTACACACAGGGTTTCGGCCCTCACATGGTGAAAGCCAGGACTGAGGCATTCACAGGTAGCATGTTCATTTTATTTATTTTTTTGTTTTAAGCAATTAGCTCAGCAGGGCTCATGTTACCAAGAAGGTCAGTCTATCTATCATTAACATTAGAAATACTTGTAGTATTACAACATGGTAATAGTGTCAGAAGTACTTGTTATGAGGTCAGAAGTACTGAAAGGAATATTGCAGTAGCAGTATGCGACCTAGCCTGCCGCCCAACTTGCATTGCGCCCCACCCTGATTCCTTTCCTTGTAGGTGGTGGGTCCACAGGCCAGTGGCCCCATGTCATCTCTTCGGACCATGTCTGACCAGGCCCAATGGGCCAAGGCCTGGCCACCGGACGCTCGCTGGTGAGCTCCCCTCCCAGGTCCGGCTTCAGGAGTATGCCCAGGTTTCCCTAATACAAAATAAAATACAAATTCACCTTTGTATTACAAATATAATTACTTAAATGGAATTACAAATTAAGACCAGACATAAAACACAAAGAAAACATCAAGTTGGCATCAAACAAATTGTTTTATGTTTTTACTTTGTTAAATATCACTCATATTGTGTTATAGTAGGGACTACTTTTATGGTTTGGAAACTTATTTTGCTTTGTTAACATCAAGGACATGTAGAGTTGTTTATTTTATGATGGTTAATTTAAGTAGAGTTGGCATAAGTAGGAACTTAGACTATACTCACAGATATATAATTAATCATAATCAGTCTCAATAGAATCTATCTACAGATACAGATACAATGATCAAGCCAAGATGTACTATGCCAAGCTTCACTAATATACTGTAAGTGAAACTATTTTCAGGCAATTGCTGCATTACATGGTTTCCAAACTGACTGAGTGTCACCAACATCAGCTTTCAAGTCTCCAACAACATATACACATGTACATAGATCCATGATCCTGGATAAATGACATAATAAATGCCAACCTGTTAAGATATTCATCCTCATTATGAGGGCACTCATAGGGGGTATATATGTTGTCAAAAACCATAAAAGATATGAAAAGGCTGTTTACAAGGTTAATAGCTCAACATGTCCTGAGATGAGTAGAGTTTAAATGGTATTTCTGAAAGTATGGCAGATTTTTAAAGGTTCAAAGAGGGCGAAGATTTCAAGACTCTCCCATTCATTTCAATGGGATTTGTTTTTTTTTTGAAAAAGCTGAATTTCTTAAAAAGTATAAATGTTACAAAAAAGTTGAATACACGCCATAATGTCCTTAAAAAGCTGCAGAGTTTGATATTTGAGTGGATTTTATTCAGCGGCAACAAACGTACAGAAAAGAGCAGGATAACATCGTGTGGATGCTGCTGACTCAGCATCCACACAGTGAAATGGACAACACAAACACAGTGACAGCATCTATAGGAGCATGTGTGCAAGGCTTTCTCTGGTCTCCTGAAAAACTTAATGGCTGAAATATTTTTATGTGCCAACTAACACCACTCCCCCTTTTATAATCAGCTTCAGAGGCTGTTGCATCAATGATGTCACACTACTGAGCTCATTTACTTTGAAATCATGCTCATGAAAGATCTGCTTGAAATTTTTCTTTGATCCTATTATACTATTTGTTATACACTCTGCATAGCCTGGGTATTTTTATTTGTTTGTTTTTAGTTATAAAAGAGATAACAGTGTCTTTGTGTGTGTGTTTTCAAAATATTCTCATATTTTAATAATGGTCTTTGCCTGTAATCTTTCATTTTTTGGCTCATGTTTTTCCTCTCAGTCGTTTTAGAAGTTATGGATGAACATTTGTTTATTAAATAACATGTTTACTTATTAACCACTAGTTCAAATCAAACTGATGTTAGAGTACCTCTGGGACTTGCTGCCCAAATGATGGCACAATATGATAACATTTTATGATGATGGGCATGCCTTCTTGTCATAGGCTTCACTGTGCGTCTACTGTCAGCTCCAACTTCTAATTCTACATCCTGTCAGAATCCTGTCAAACTCTTCTTACACGAGTTTGGTGGGTTATAAACTGAAATCCGTGATTCTGGACAGATCTGGCTCATGCTCCTGAAGGGCGTTGGGGCTACCAGCTGCACAGCAGGACAGTGAGAGAATGGAGCACAGCGCCTCATAGTGGTGGCAGCGGGTGAGACTTATTGTTATTACTGAACCAGGGACCGATAGAACAGGGGCTTATGCGCTGTGGTCCTGGACATTCCTATTCTTACCAGAGATGATGATGATGGGGCTTTTTTGGTTTTGGAGAATTACCTTTGACTGGATACGTGTGCTTCTCACGCATTTTAAACAGTCTAGTTTTGTTATTTTGTAAGTCCATACTGTTGCCTTCTGTACTTTAGGTTTACGTTCCTTTTGTGATTTTTTTCCATATTATTTTGGAGAAACATTTGCTCTTCTTCTCTGAGGACTCGTGGGTCTTCTGTTTTTAGAAAGTAAGGGCGATTGAGGTCGAACAAAAAAAGTGAATCTTTTTTAGTCACTGAAGAAGCACGTTTTGAGTCTCATTTTCTCACGCTTCCTTTGTGAGGACGCAAGGGACACCCCTGTTTCAATCATTGCACTACACAAATCTGACGCATCTGCAGAGGACGCGATAACGACAATGGAAAGCATTTCAAATGAAAGTGACTTTTGGCAATTCAACGACTCCTGGAGGAATTCAAGTCTCCTTAATGGGACTGATGGGATGAATCAGACAAACCCTCTGAAGCGGAACGAGGAGGTGGCGAAAGTGGAGGTTACTGTCCTCGCCCTGGTGCTGTTTCTGGCACTGGCTGGGAACATGTGCGTCTTGCTGGCCATTCACACCACCAAACACAGCCATTCCCGCATGTATTACTTCATGAAGCAGCTGAGCATTGCCGATCTAGTAGTGGCTATATTTCAAGTTCTCCCTCAACTTATTTGGGACATTACATTTCGGTTCTATGGACCGGACATTTTGTGCAGGTTGGTGAAATACCTACAGGTCGTTGGGATGTTCGCCTCCACATACATGTTAGTTTTGATGTCCGTAGACAGGTGTTTGGCTATTTGCCAGCCCCTTCGTTCATTGCACAGGAGAAAAGATCGTTTCTATGTCATATTTTCCTGGGTCCTGAGCCTGCTCTTCAGTATCCCGCAGATGTTCATCTTTTCCCTGAGAGAGGTTGGCTCAGCCGGATCGGGGGTGTATGACTGCTGGGGCGACTTCGTGAAGCCTTGGGGGGCCAAAGCTTATATCACATGGATTAGTCTTACCATATACATCATTCCAGTGGCCATACTGAGCATTTGCTATGGTTTGATAAGCTTCAAAATATGGCAAAACTTTAAACTGAAAACCCGGCGGGAGCAGTGTATAAGCCTGACACCCAAAACCTCCAAAGGCAACACGCTGGCGCGTGTGAGCAGCGTTAAGCTCATCTCCAAGGCCAAGATCACCACAGTGAAAATGACTTTTGTGATCGTCGTAGCTTATATCGTGTGTTGGACCCCTTTTTTCTCTGTTCAGATGTGGTCTGCGTGGGATCCAGAAGCGCCTCGTGAGGGTAGGTTGAATTTAGAAGTTTAATATGATTCAGAGCGCGCACCAGTGCGCAGAGGGTGCTGTACTCATAATGAAGACATTTTACCCGCATACTCTTCTTCACCATCCCCATCCGTTTACACAGCATTCTACTGACAGCATAGCTGACTGGAGGGATTTGGAGATTTTCAGCTGGCGCATCCCAGTTGCTGCGCGCATTAACGCACGGAGATTCGAGCGTTTGAATATCCGGTTAAAACAAAACGAAACAACAGAATTTCAGTTTGGGTTTATCTGGGTTTATTCTCCTTTGCTCATTCATCATGAAACGGAGTTTTGTAGACGACTCAACCGGATTTTGCTGTTTTGTATCAATGTAAATAGCCCAGTCAGGGTGCGATGCGGATGGCTGAAGCTCTGCGGACGCAGCACAGGAGGCTTGACCCTAGGGCAAAACAAAAAAGATTGAAGCCAAATACACAAACAAAATTTTGTATTATTACATCTGTCTGCTACATAAACGTTTGGTACTGCATTCAATTGTGACTTTAGCCATCTCAGTGAAAAAATATTTCTACAATACACAAAGCTTAAAGACAATATCAGTTTCAGAATTCAGTGACACATCCTACTCGACATTAGTTAATCTATGAGTCTAATGTTTTCCGATGCTGTCACGCTATGGTTTATTCAAATTAGGAAAGTTTGAAAGCAGGTTTTCATATATTCCATTTTTTCATTATATCTAATAATAATAATACACCTGCTGTGTGGTAACAAAAATGAATGACTGAATCTTAATTCCAAAAGCTGGATACAGAATTCCAAGTTCCAGGTTTCCCAACTTCCTCTAACCCCCCTCACGCTGCAGAGATCGATTGATGGCTAATCATTAATCAAATTTGTGTGCGCCACTGCGCACCATGAAGCTTCTGTTAGTCCCTGCGGGGCACGTTGGAGCGCGGCGCTGACATTTAACCACAATAGGCCACTAGCAACCTTCTACTGTATGCGCTCCCCACAGTTATCGATCTGTTGTGCTATGGCCACACCCATACAACAACAGAGGACTTAACCGCAATGTGACAAATTGAGTTTACAGTGTATCTAGACATTTGAAAAATTGCCTCTGTGCTGCTTTCATTGTTTCATTACATTTAGAATGGAACTAAGTAAAAGGCACAAATGTGTATTACAGCTATTACAGTTTCATTTGAAGGGGCTATAATGTGTCTGGAAGACCTTTGTTTTACTTGAAAGGTGAAAGGTAAATCTAATTCCAATTGTTCGTTTGAGAACTTTAATAGGTCTGCATCTCCTTCTAAAAAATTCAAAGAAACTACACCCCACAGATGATGCGAAACTTGCTTTACACACAATTTCCATTCCTTAAAACTGTGGTTTAATTGTAATTGTAATGATTAGGAAAAGGGAGAGGAGAAATACAGTACTATCTACGATCTGTATCTAACAAAACAGACTACAGTAAGACAAACAGAGCATATACCAAAAACAAGACAAAATGAAGTAAATAATGTGAGGACGTTTCTTAGACAGTAAACAGATTCTGAGTGTTGCAAGTCTTGATTCTTTTCTGTTGCTTCTGGATTTGTATAAAAGGTAATTGGCTGGTTGTGTCTCTGCCATCCTCCTCAAGCTGCATTGTTTGTATCAGCTATTTACACTTTAGGGCTAAACACCTGCACAATACATTTTGTGGTCAGTAAATTATTCACAGAGGAGGCATATTGCCTACTGATGAAATGAAAGTAGTTGTACTTGTAGTTGTAGTTGTAGTTGTAGTTTATGCCGCATCTCAACAATATCCAAAGTTACAGCAGCCAGAAAAGATCATCAAGGGTCCTTGTGATGTGGTTTGTGGCCTGGTTTCCTGTTTGGTGCTTTTATTTTGGTTAGTTTCCTGTCCTATATCACCTCACTTTCCCCAGCTTTACTCTGGTCACAATCACCATTCATTGTTTCCACCTGCTGCTCATTACCACCTGGTCTCCTGTCTATATATCCTCCTCCCTTCCCCCAGTCTGGTCGCTGGCTCATCTGATCTCCATGCCGCGCTTGTTCCCGTCTCCTGTGCTCCCTCCTTGAGCTCCACACCCGGTTGGTAGTGATGGAGAAACCGAAGCTTTCTGAACCACTGAATCAATATGAAGCAATTGTGTTGAAATGGTGTTTTGAAGCATTTGATACAATTATGTATGGCGACATCTGCTGGCCAACCATCAACAGAGCATTTGCATGGAACAATAAAGGGCAAGGTGCCATGAAACTGTAAGGCACTGTTGTGTATGTTTAACAATAAAGGTTCTATGTGCATATAGAAATGTTTGACTGTTTTGTCTTTTAAAGACGATAATATACTTGTGTCATAATGAAGAACTTTCCAACTGCAAGCTGACAGGAGTTTATAATCAGGAATTCATGTAATTCCCCCTGACTGTTACACTGTTTGCACATGCATAACTGTGTGTGACTGTTGCACATACAGCTTCCGATGTAGCATATATTCTCATTCATATATTTTTATTATATTTCTTTTCGCTTGCTGTTTTTAAAGTGCCTTTATATTGCATTACTGTTTATCTACTTTATATTAGACCTTATTGTTTGGCATTCATTGGACAGCAAAGTAAGTATTCCATTGTGCAGGGAAACATGTTTCCTTACCGTGCACATGACGAACACTTTGACTTGAGTTGATTTTAAAATCTTAAAATACAGTGTGTAATAAAAATATGCTTTTACAAAAGGGGGGGGAGAGGGGGGCGGGGGGGGGGGGGGGGGGGGGGTCCAAAGATTTTTATTTTAAAACAAAATCATTTCAGCTGAGTTAGGCTTCAGTCTGTTCCTCTTCTTTGTTATTCCCTCTCCAGCTTTGGAGAAGACCCTTTCACATGGCACAGGAATTGCTGGCATATGAAGATATCTTTTGGCAAGCTTGTAAAGATTAGGATAAACCGCTGCTCTTGAGTTCCAGTATTTTAACAGATCTTGTCCTTTGGATGAGGTAGAGCTCAGCCAAATAACGTTGAACCTCCACTGTTGCACCTGTAGGAAATCAGAGCAGAAGAAGGTGAAACTCATTGTATGTGGTTTTATATTTGGATGTCTATGTGCACTATATGCCCTCAGCACTTTAGTTTCTTATTTTTGAATAAAGACTGATAAACTATTAGAACCAGTGTTTATGTCAGCATTTGGGTCCTTCCCTGCCTGAAACTTAACAGTGAGTGTAAAAGAGGAATTCATTCTTTTCTGTTGAAGAGAGATGAGATACAGCGCAGGGAGGAGGATGACTTTCCTCCACATGAACAGCAATCACACGGCCCAGAAATGGCAGTGACACGTGCCAGTGTTTGTGTACAAAAGACAGAGTGTCACCTGTGTTTGTGGAGATAAAGTGGTCATTAGAGCCATACTCAGAAAAGGGAGCCCAGAACAGGCAGCTTGGAATAAACTGTATTTCAGACATTTATGTAAATAAACAGTTTCACTGAGATAATAGATTGTACCTTTACCTCACACACAGATTAGTAAAACTTAATAGTAATAAATAATAATAATAATCAATGTATTATTAGAGCACTAGGCATAAAAAGTGATTATTTTCATGTGCATATTTTATCTACTATGTAGAAATAGGCCTGTTGTTTCAGCATATTTCTGAGAGAGGGGCATCTTCATGAACTCTTATTACCACAGTTTTCTCTCTGAGCCACGTAATAAAACCATTTTTTGCTTCATTTTCAACATCAATCAAGCTGCCATTAAGCTTTGCTATTTCAAGGTTGATGTCTTTAAAAGGTCAGAAGAAGAATCAGGATGTACACGGAGCAGAGTCTTTGCCTCGTTCTTCATACACTGTCTTCGCCCTGGCCCATTACTAAAGTACTCATGTCTTCTGCTCTGAGTGACTCAACCAAGTGCATCATTTGTCCAATTTCATACTCTGACATTTTCAGAAATGTGCTTATTTACTTTCTAAATGGGTATTAGATAAGAAGATACACCTGTACTGTACTGTATCTATGAATATAGATACAGTTCAACTCCCCATTACTGTCTGTGCTGTATATACGAAAATAGATGAAACTCTCTCTGTACTGTGTGTACAGTAGGCTATAGGCTATATGAAGCTACAGTCAGCAGTCAGTTAGCGTAGGTTAGCATAAAGACAGGGAGAAACCTGGCTTTGTCCAAAGATATTTCTGTTTTTTCCTGACTCTTTCTTGGCCAGGACCAGTAGCTTCCTTGGATATTCACTTGTAACTTGGCCACGAAACAGTCTGGCAAGTATTCCCTATTCATTAATTAATACTTGTTTTTACACTTTAGTTTTAAACAAATGAGATGGAACACAGTAATTACCCAGCTTTAGAGGTGCTGGTAGGCAGATTATGTCACCAAAAGCAGCTTGTTTTCATATGTATCTGGCTGCATTGTGTGTACTGTATAGGAGTGGCACCAGTCTTCTCACGAAGAAAGCAGATGAGCTTATGTCCCAGCATGTATGCCTGGGCCTTTCAAAAATTGAAAATGCCTCTTTTTTTGCACTCCATTAGGCTTATTGGTACACTTTTTGGAAATGTCACGAGGCAGTAAAATGCTCCATTTCTCTAAGCTATGTCAGAGGTAGATCAGTGGCATCTGTGATCTTAGCAACCACACAGATTTCATTATGTCGAGAACAGTCACCCCAAAAAATTCTGTAACTCAAACCTCTCCCCCGTTGAGCCTGATGCTTTCGGATGCTGGTTCACACTTGGTGCCATATTGATTTGTGCTGGGTGCTTGATGGGCACAAAGTCTAACCTGCAAGTCCTAGATTTTTTTTAAAGGTCAGTTTGTTCTCGTGAGAAAAGTGAGAGCGTCCTGTGTGCAGAAAGACCTCTCCAAGCAAGGTACTCATAAATATTATGTAGATGTCAGGCTACTGCTCATGATCGTTTATCTTCAGGGAAAAGAATCACAACTGAATCCTCTCTTTAATGAACCTAAGAGTCTTTTGGGCCGGCCAGCATAAGCTCCCAGAGTCAGACAGATACAATAGGGCACGATAATATTCTGCCTTCTCACTTGCTGTGTGATTTATCACCCTCTTGTGAAAGACATCATAAACTAATTCCTTCAAAACTTTTTTATTATGAAACCCCAATATTCAAATTAGATTCAGTCTTCGGTCTCATCTACCCTCCAGTGAACTACTGTCCATGTCGGTAGCATTAGCAGAATGATGCACAGCTGAAAGCTTATGTAAATTCCCATGTCTGTAGAACATTTCATACATTTGCAGGTTCTTGCACAGATCAGTGTTTACCACTTTCATTTGTTCATCAGAAACATTACAAAGTAGCACTTACTTAAAAGTAAATTATAAACTCCAGGACTGTGGTAGAAGGATAATTTAATGATCTACACTCAGTTAAGTTTGTGTTTTAGTCTCATAAATCAAACCCTTATTGGCTGATGATCGGTTCTTATTAATTATGCCTGGCTTTGCTGTCCTTCCAGAGATAATTTATGCTGAACAATTTTGTTAGAGCGCAGCCAGCATAATTAGAGACAACATGAGAACAGCAGCACAGATAGGCTCCAGAAAAGATTAGCAGTCATTGAGAAGAGGTTAAATATGGGATATAAGCCAATTACATAAATCCAAAACCCATTTGCCAAGTGTCAGTTGGATGGTGGGGCTGACGTAGCGTAAATGTCATCCAGCGTGCCACTGCAGGTTACATGCCATGATGTATCACTACAGTGTTGCACATGAAACATTTGTGTGTGCCGATTCTTAGAGCATCAATACCGACTGCTTGTTTGAACAGGGCACCATTGAAATTCATTTGGGTTTCTTTCTTGCTCTTGAGCTGGGTGTAAAAATGAAACTCTCTCCTTCTCTGAAATGCGTTGCCACTGTGAATGTATGAAACTGTTCTTTTACCTCTTTTAATGCTGACTTTAAGTTCAAGAACTGAGAATACCTCCAGCTATCATAATACAGTTATACTGTAGCTGTGTGACTGAAACTTGCGGTTGAACTACTTTAAAGACAGTAAAAACCGGGTTACCCTGCATCTTTGCCTGGTAAGTTAATAAAACTGAAAAAAGTCATACCCCACAGAAACAAGTGCTCTTTTGGGGTCAAGGGTCAAGTTAACTGCTGAGCAATATAGACAACTTTTTTCCTCTGGGGACCATGAATGTTTGTAGAAATCCATGCCATTTCAACCCATGTATTACATAAGTACGTTTTGTCACTGTAAGAACAGTGGTAGACACACTTACAGCAAGCCACTAGCATCTTTATTTGTTGGAATCTACTCTTCACAGCGCAGTAACTTTCCTCTCCTTGTCCTCTCCTGCAGCTATGCCCTTCATCATCTCCATGCTGCTAGCCAGCCTCAACAGCTGCTGTAACCCCTGGATCTACATGTGCTTTGCCGGGCATCTGTTCCAGGATCTTAGGCACAACTTTCTGTGCTGCTCCACGCGCTACCTCAAGTCATCCCAGTGCAAATGTGAGCGTGACTTTGACTCCAGTCACAAGAGCAACTCCTCAACCTTTGCCATGAAAAGCACTAGCAGTCAGAGGAGTGTCACACAGACATCTACTACATAACCCCCCAGCTGCCCACCCAGCTCTTTACCATATGTAATATGTTCGACTCCTTCAGATACCTCTTGCCTCACAGCTTGCTGTTTGAGCACAGGAATAACAACAGACGTCTTGTTAGTTTCTTTTACAGCACTTTATAGTGTAAAGTGGAAGTGGAACTGTGAAATAGAAACATTGTAAAGATCATTAAGGAGCAACACTCAACTCATAAAAGCTTGTCATGGACTAAGCTGATCAATCAACTGCATTGTTTTTACATTTTGATGTACAGTGTATATTTACAGTGCAGAGAAGGTAAAAGTAATGAGCACGTCTGAATGATTTTTAAGCTCTGTCAAACTTGGCAAGACACATTATTATTTGAATGGCTGTCACCAGCAAAGCTTATGGGTCCTGTTTTTCTGTGTTATGATGAAACTGCTACCCTGTAAAAAAAATTATGTAGCTTGCTGTTTACTTTTATTACATTTGCAATGAATTGTATATGTGTAAACATTTAGTTCAGCTATTGTTAGATGTGAGGTGTCATGGCTGTCACTGGTAAAGATTGTTAAAAGCAAAAGTGGCAAAAATACATTTACAACATTAATGTTTACATCTATAGCTGATTAGAGCACATTCCACCTCCTGGAGAGACGGAAGAAATCCTTGGTGGAGCTGCTGGAAGTGTTCTAGAGGGATGTTTGTGTCTGGTCGGCCAATAGCGTCACTGAGTTCCTGCAAATTTTGGCAGCACATTGAAACATCCTGTTCAGCCAAAGCCAAAAAAAAAAGCATTATTGGGTTTCAATCTGGAGACCGCACAGACTACTAGAGTCGCGTTTCTGAAGGTTTAATTAAGACTGATGCTTTCTTTCACTCCACTGTGTTTATATTCAGTGTTTCTAGTATGAGCCGTCCAGCATGTGAAGCATCAGCCAGTAATGAGGAGTGACCAGACTACAAGCAAACAATCCCGCACAGTATCTCTACAGTAAATGTGACCTTTCTGATGTTTATACTGTCCAGTGCTAGTTCAGACACTTTAGTTTTAATTTTATTATTCAGCTCATCTCTCTGTCACCTTACACTAGACTTACACTGGACTTACACTGTGACGAACTACAACACCACAGACTACAGCCACAGATATATCTATAGGATTATTATTATAATCTTCACATAAGATAGTCATTGCAGGAGAATTCAACTGGAATATTCTGCTTTGATGTTATTTTTAAATGGGTTACAGGAATAAATGCCAAAATGATACAACACCTATACAGACACTTTACATATTTTAGTTTTATTTACAGTTATATTTGGTGGTGTTACATACTTCAGCCTTGATACTGTGATGTACAATCTTGTTTCAGTGGACAATATTTTATCAGGAGAAATTCTGTCAACCACAAAACCTTTCAAATCAACAAGACTTTTGCTACGAGTTAATGATGCCAGTCAGATCAATTTATGTGTACAGTATGTCTGTGATTGTACAGGTTTAATTAACCAGTTGCAAAATGCAAAAAGACAAAAAGAAAATAAAATAAAATTATAAGATTTGTATTTGTGGAGATTTTTTTTCTTTAATACCAAATATAAAAACTCTACATATTTATTGTCAGTGTATAGTTTGTGAGCTCTGTTTATTTAGAAATACTATTACTGGTTAATTTGCTGTTGGGTCTGAAAAGTTCCCTTTGTATTTCTAACCTGCCTTAAAATGTTTCGCCATAAAACACCAATGTAAAAATCATGCATATGAATCTTAAAGCTTGCACTGTTTTATTTTGTTAGTTTTTACTAAATGTGTTTTCACTTGTGATGCTGAATTTTAGGAATGTGTACTATATGCCATGTGAATAAAATGTGTGATCTAAGGAGAAATTATTATTTCAGATAAAAATATTAAGATGTTCTAGTTTTTACAGCAACATTCTACTGAAATGCGAGTGATTTTAGATCTGATTCTTTTTAATGAAATCTGACTACATAACACAGCAAAGGAGTTACACTTGCTCACTAATTACACCGTTTAACACAGTTCATTAATATGAATAAGATCATTGTTTTGCACTTATATTTATGCACCCCCCCCCCTCTGACAGTCCTT